CCCCCCATCACCTCAGTGTCCCCTCCTCACCCCTGTCACCTCCTCCCTCAGGTCCCAGCTGGTCCAGGACGTTCTGAGCTCCGACACCCGTGCCTGCACCCTCCCCCAGGTGGCCAAGCAAGGTGAGACCCCCCAACAAACCCCCAAAAATGCCAACATGGAGCCGGGAGACAGGGTGACACCCCCTTCCTGACTCCTCATCCCCTCTCCCACAGGACCCATCACCCCCAAAAACGTGACGGTGGTGGCCGGCACCGACCTGGTGTTGACTTGTCGCTTGGGTTCCAACCTGGCCCAGGCTCTGTGGACCTTTGAAGGCCGGGCTCTGGTGGCCCAACAGGCCCTGGTCCTACAAGATGCCCGTTTACGGGCTCTGGTGGTCCCGGGGGCCGGTGCCCAACACAGCGGCACGTACCGTTGTTTTTCGGAGGAGCAAGGTGCCCGTTTGGGTGGTGAGGTGTACCAGGTGGCCGTTTTGGCGGGGAACGTGGTGCCCATGGAGACACGGGCACCTTTGGAGAGTTTGGGGCTGGTGTGGGTGGTGGCCGTTTGCTTGGGCGCCCTGTGCTTGGTGTTGCTCTTGGTGGTGCTCTCCCTTTGGCGACGTTTACGGGAGGAACTGGGCAAAGGGAGCAAAGCCATCGAGAGCACCTTGGTGTATCCCATCGAGTTGCCCAAGGAACCCCCCAGCCCCCGTTTCGTCCCCAGCGCCGCTTCCGATTCGGATGAGAAACTTTGGGATCCGGCCAGTTATTATTATTCCGACGGTTCCCTCAAAATCGTGCCGGGGCACGCCGCTTGTCGCAACGGTGGGCCACCACTTGCCACCTCCCCCCCTGCCCCCATCCCCGGGCAACCTCTCCATTCTCCAACCCGTATCCACTTGGGTCCATTGAGGGGTTCTTCTTCCAACGGGTACATCCGCCTGGCGCTGGGTGCCGAGGAGCGCCCACCCTGCGCCGATTTAGCCGAGGAGCTGCGCCGCAAACTCCAGCAGCGCCAACCTCTGCCCGATTCCAACCCCGAGGAGTCCTCGGTCTGAGCTTCCTCCCATCCTCCCCACCACCACCACCATCATCATCGTCATCGTCATCGTCGTCGCCCACCCAAACGTACACGCACACCCCCACCCCCATCCTCCTTCTTCTCCTCCTCCTCCTCCTC